ATGACTACTCAAAAGTTACAGGCAGCGCAGGAATTGATTGATCAACAGCTTTTTCTACATCACATAGAACCATCCACATCTCCTTGGAATTCTCCAATATTTGTGATAAAAAAGAAATCAGGCAAGTAGAGACTTTTAACGGACTTACGTGCTGTAAATTCATCCTTAATTCAAATGGGAGCCCTTCAGCCCGGTATTCCTTTACCCTCAGCGCTCCCTGCTGGTTGGTTTGTATATGTTATAGATTTGCAAGATTGTTTTTTTAACATCCCATTACATCCAGAAGATAGAAAACGGTTTGCTTTTTCAATTCCTCAAACAAATTATCAAAGACCTTATCAAAGATATCAATGGAGGACTTTACCCCAAGGAATGAAAAATTCCCCAACTATATGTCAAATTTATGTTGATGCAGCATTAAAACCAGTGCGTGCACGATGGCCTCAGGTTTATACGGCTCATTTCATGGATGATATTTTATTCTCATATAGTGATAGAAATGTTTTAAAAGATATTTTAAAAACTTTACCTCAATATTTTTCTCCGTTTGGACTTGTAATAGCACAGGATAAAATTCAAAAGAAAGAAGTTAGTCATTATTTGGGATATATTCTTACTAGACAAAAGGTGATTCCACAAAAAATGTCTATTAGGAGAGATAAGTTATCCACTTTAAATGATTTTCAAAAATTATTAGGGGATATTAATTGGCTTCGTCCCACACTAGGTATTCCTACCCATGCATTACAACATTTGTTTGCTACTCTACAGGGCTCTTCAGATCCATCCAGCCCTCGTTCTTTAACAACAAAAGCCGAGCAAGAATTACAGTTTGTAGAACAACAAATTAAGGATGCATTTTTAATTAGGATTGATCCTAAATTGCCTCTAACTTTATATATTATTAATACTTTTCAATATCCCTCTGCAGTTTTAGGTCAAAATGCTATGCTAGTAGAATGGGTATTCACTAAAACTAAGCAATCTAAAAATGTTATGCCTTATATTGACATGGTTGCAGCTTTAATTATAAATGGTAGAGCTCGTTCTATAACTTTGATAGGAGAAGATATAAACAATATAGTTATCCCTTTAACTAAGAAACAATGGGAATATTTGTTGTCAATTACTGAAACCTTACAAATTGCTTTAGCAGATTTCATGGGAACTTTTTCATATCATTTTCCTAAAAGTAAATTATGGGATTTTTTTAGACGTCAACAATTTGTGGTTAATACCTTATTAGCTGTACAGCCAATTCCACAAGCTTTGACTATATTTACAGATGGATCTAAAAATAAAGCTGCATATTGGACTCAAAAATCTTACTGGGTACGTCAGACAAATTTTAACTCTGTACAACAAAATAAACTTTTTGCTATATTACAAGTGTTTTTAGATTTTCATAACCAACCTATTAATATTATAGCCGATTCGGCCTATTCTGTTGGAGTAGTGACAAATATCTATTCAGCTGTGTTATATTCTAATAAGCCTGCTTTATTGTCTTTATTTCAAAATTTACAAATACATGTTCAAAAAAGAAATCATTCTTATTTTATTACTCATTTACGTTCTCATTCTCAGTTACCCGGACCATTAGTATCAGGTAACAATGCAGTGGATTCCTTAGTTATGTTCACCACACCCGTTAAAGAACATCAATTTAATCATGCAAATGCAGGACATTTGCATCTTAAATATAAGATACCTTTTACAAAAGCTAAACAAATTGTAAAAGCCTGCCCTATTTGTAGACCATTACATTTAAGAATTATTCCCGCAGGTGTCAACCCTCGAGAAACTCAACCTAATGAATTATGGCAAATGGATATTACACATGTACCTTCTTTTGGTCGGCTTTCTTATGTACATGTAGTTATTGATACCTATTCTTCATTTCTATGGGCTACTGCTCAACAGGGAGAATCCACTAAAAATGTTATTGTACATTTATTGGAGACTTTTGCAGTTATGGGAATTCCTTCTAAAATCAAAACAGATAATGGACCTGCTTATACTAGCAGAACATTTAAACAATTTTGTGATCTCCATAATATTATTCATATTACAGGGATTGAATATAACCCCCAGGGTCAAGCTATTGTTAAAAGAACACATGGCACTCTTAAGTTGCAAATTAAAAAATTAAAAAGGAGGAGTCAGGAGGATATTCAGATACCAATACTGTTTAAATTGCAAAACAGTCCAAAAACATTACTGCATCAAGCATTGTTTATTTTAAATTTTCTCAATTTACCACAAGGTGAAATATTAACAAGAGCTGAAAAACATTTTGAACAGCAACAACAGCCTTTTGTGATTAATGAACCTATTTGGACTAAAACAGCTCCAGAGGCTGAATGGGAGAGGGGCACATTGCTCTATAGGGGGAAAGGTTTTGGTTATATCTCCACAGAAAATGGAATTCAGCAGTGGGTCCCTGGACGATGGATCAGGACCCGCGTCTCCAGATCCTGTTCACCAGCCCCGGAGACAACTCCCCAAGGAACCGGAACCGTGCCTTCAGAAGCGAGCGCAAAACCAGCTAGAAGCTGAGGATGCTGAGTTTGTTCCTATCGCAGCCATGGCCAGATTACAGCTAAGAAAATCCCGCCGCTCACAGCGACCAAATTTAAATCCCCTCCCTACATGGGGACAATTAAAAAAATTGACCATAGAAGGGCAACGGCTTGTCCTTCAAGCAGGAAAGCCTTTAAACCCTGAAAACTTGTTTTTAGCTTTATGTGCCTTGCTCACCGTTGCATCGGGGAATGAGGTACCTCCGCATTCGTACTGGGCATATATTCCAAACCCCCCTTTATTAGAACCTGTAAAATGGGGAACTAGTGATATTTTACTTTATACCACACCTAGAGAAATTTTGTCAGCACCGTGGGCTGATTTAACCCCCCACAATCAAGATGATGGGACACTATTCAATTTTACTTATTATGGTAATCAAAGGCCTATTTGCATTGGGGAACCGCCTTGCATCCCTCTGGGATGGCAGTATTGGATTCAACATGGAATAAAAGCAGGCAACAAAAGGACAAGGCTTCAAGCCTTGGCTGCTCAAACCTTTAATGTTACCTGGAGAAATTTAACAGCACCTGATACAAATACATTTCCTGTATGCCCTGAATTCACTTATAAAAATATTTCTTATAATCCCATAATTTGGCAACTATGTATGGGAAAATTTGCTAAAAATATTGATGGGTATATTATTTGGGGACCATTTGGAAAATTCGTTAATGGATGTGCTGAATGGAATGAGACAAGATGTAATCTCTCTGTTGTGTATAGTCTTCCAGATCCAAAGAAAATAACTAACGGAGCTCCTATATTTCAACAAAAGACGGCTCTCTTGTGGTGGGGAGATGGTGGAATCGCTAACCCTGCTGTTGCAGCCGAAGAATACCCTCATCACCTTCAAAATCATATTTGAAAGATCCCAGCCGCTATGCAACCTGTAACCTTGTACAATGTTTCATATTCAGGGACTAGTCGATCTGTATCTACTACTTATAATTTTACTAGGTTTAAAATGTATAATATTACTGTTTGTGCACCTCTGCCTTATGTCTTTTTAGTGGGAACTTTTAATTTTACACATTTTTCTTGTACTTGTTTAAATTGTCAATTGTTTACATGCTTAAATAACACACTAAATTTCACTAAGCCTTATACAGTTATGCTGTTACAACAAAAAACTCATATTTGGTTGCCTGTAAATTTAACTCGACCTTGGTCTCAAGACCCGGTAATTTCTGTTACTACTGAATTTTTTAAACATCTGTTAAAACGTACAAAAAGATTTATTGGAATAGTGGTTGCTGTACTGTTAAGTCTGATAACTGTAGCCTCTCTAGCAGCAGTCTCAGGAGTAGCTTTACAAACCTCTTTGCAAGAAAAACATGTTGTCGAATTATGGCATGAGAATTCTCATAAACTTTGGTTAACTCAGTGGCAGATAAACGCCAGACTACAACAACAAATAGACCTCCTTAAACAAACAGTTGAATGGATGGGTAGAAAAATATTGGCTCTTCAGCATCAAGTGTTTTTAAAATGTGATTGGAATTCAACTACTTTCTGTATAACCCAACGACCTTATAATCAGACAGAACATGAATGGGAAATGATTAGAATGTATTTAAATGGAAACACCTCTGCCCAGGAGGAAATAGAATCTTTGCATAATCAAATTGACAAGGATTTTGCAAAGCAAAATGATGATAAATCTCTAGCACAATTCGCGCAATTGCTTGCTCAATCTTTGAAAAGATTAGATTCCAAAGGAATCTGGCAGAGCATTACCCACACTTTTAGTGGCATGGGACTTAGTTTAATTATAGTTCTCATTGCCATAGTTCTTGTGTATTTTTACTACATAAGACGAAATGCTATTAATAACCTGATCTTATGGAAATTGTTGTTAAAAAATAAAAAGGAAGGAAGTGTGGGGGATGAGGTGTCACTTTGTAGGCCCAACCCCCTCTAACCTGCAATTTACAATAGCCGCCCTGGTATGCGAGAAGGAGGTAGAACGGGAATGCCCGTTCTCAGTGAGCCCTCACCCTCTGGAATCCATACTGTGAGCTGGCTTTGTTTTGCAGAAGTCTTGAGGAAGTGGCTGGCCACCCTTTGTGACACTAACAGCAGACAAATTAACAACATTCTTGAGCTAATGAATTTCTTCCTGGGCTAGAGAAGTTGTGAGAACTGGTTGTGATTATTTACTTCACTTAGATAGTTTTAGAATAAACATTGTAGTCTGTCACGTTGTAGCTTGCCACAAAGAATGCCTTTTCACTACTTAATTATCTGGGCTCTGTGAATTGATCGGGTTTACTATATATGAATCCTAAAATAAAGATTGTGCGTACAGTGCAGTGCAGTGCAGTGTAACGCGGTGCAGACAGCAAAGGTGTCTCTCCTGTCTTTCTTTTCCAAGCGCTGTACCCCCCGTGTCCCGACAAGGCGTGCGTGTTTACCTTGCCCGGAGTTCAGAGTGCTCTAGACACTCACGACAATTGTCCTGCAAACTTTCCTAAAGTAAAAAAAAAAAAGTCAGTAAACGTTTAAAGAAATGAATATTGAAGGGCAATGTAATACATATCCTAGTGGCCACAAGAGCACCTTCTGGAGTTTAAATAAATTTATACATCTGCTAACAGATCAAAGTACCTTTCATTCAAACTTTTACTTCAGAGTAAGATTACTGTACTTTGTTTCTTGCCTTTGGCTTGCAGTGTTAAATTTAAATTGCGTTATAATGACTCTTCGGGGAAGGAAAGGTGGAAGAAGGCGGAAATAAGTTTTATTTACTTTAAACCAACTGTACATTAATAAACTATCAATGAAACAAAAGTTTCCACGTTATGAAACTACACAATTCCAAAACACATATGCGTAACATTCTTCAGTCAAAATATCTAGTATAATTATAAAAACTGAAGTTTACAGACACACAAAATAAAGGGAGATATCTACAAAGAAAGTAAGTTTAGTTTCACTTTTGGTGACAGCTACTTTTGTGGAAACACAGACTTCACTCCTTCAGGTTTCCACCAAAATCACTATGTCAAGTGATTTCGCTGATGGCACGGCTGGTCGCTCAGGCTCACCAAGGGGACTCAGGAGCAAGAACTAAACAACAGGCCGCAAAGGTAATTCCACTGAAGTTCTTTTGCTCAACACTGCGTTAAAAACCTACTTAGTACTTCCTACTACCAGGTTAAAATAAATAAAAGGAAGAGGGAGTGAGTAGGCACTAATTGCTTCGGCACAGGGGAACTCACTACTCTGGATGGAAAGGGGACGGCCAACAGGGCGCTGGAGGATGCAGGGACTGAGGGAGGAAAAGACAGCAGTCAGATCTGCTCAAGGTGGCAACTAGGAGGGGACCCGATCCGTGCGGAAGTGCGGGGGCGGGGTGTCCCACACAAACACAAACACGCTCAGAGTCCCCCCGGTGGGCGGGCCGACGCTACCTCACCATTCCCCGCCCCTGGACCCCACAGCCCGCCTCGGACCCATAGCCCAGGCCCAGCGCGAAGCAACCGGGCCTTGGCTGCAGAGGCCCGGGTATCTGTAACAACAGCAGTGGGCTACAAGCCTCCGTGAGAATCGGTAAGAATCAGTGCTGCCGCGGTGAGGGCAGTGGGAGAGTGAAGCCCGTCTACCTACGAGCTTACACGAGCGCGGAAGCGGCCTGCTCACCCTCAATCCTGTGTCCGATGAGCAATCGCCGCTCCCACCTTCCGCTGCCGCCTTAAGGGAAGCTAGAGCGACGGGGGTCACGACGGGGGTCAGAGGGTAAAGGTCTTGCTCCCAGCAGCCTCCGCGGTGGATACGTCGCCATCTTGGATCCGCGGGACAAGAAAATTCATGCGGTGAGTTTTTGGCAAATTTTCGGAAGTCTGGCAGCGGGGCGCGCGGCGGGGGCGGCGGATTTGGGGCCCCCGCAGGGCAGGGGAATGTCTCGGGGCCGGGCCAGTCCCTCCCGGGGTCCGCGGGTAGCGTCCCGGCCCACCGCTTCCCGTTGCTTTTGTCTCGGCTCCAATCGAGAAAGGGAGAGCGGAGCGGGCGGGGAGGGGGGTGGCGGTGGTGGAGGGAGGGGGTGTGTGAGGGGGGGGGGTGGACGTAAAGCGTCGCTGTGCTCCGGCCGCTGCAGCGGCAGCTCTAGATCTTAGGCCGGGTCCCATCCGCGGGCGGCTGGGTTTTCCTGGGACTCCTCTCCTTGGGGCTCCCGCCAGCGCGTAGTAGCCACTGCCGCCGCGCTGTTTCCTGGGGTAGAAGACAAGGCGGTAGCGGCGGGAGCCAACGAGTCCAGGCCCACTTTAGTTCGCTCTGCCACCGTCCCAGCTGCTGCGGATCCCCGGCTCTTCACATGTCTCTCAGTTACACGCACATCATATGCCACTTGTGTGTTTTTGTTTTTGTGTATAAGATGGGGGACACTGGAGTGGATAACGGGTCTCGGGAGCCTTCAGGCCCAGGGATACCGAGAGTGGTGCATGTTGGAAGGAGAAACAGTGCAACTGTGATGCTTCTCTCACTGCACCCGGAGGATGTTTTAGTGTTATAGAGACAGTCCGTTTGGTCCTGGGGCGCCGGAGGAAACCGAGACGCCTGTTTGTGAAGTTGCAAGCCCCAGGTTTCCACTTCCGGTGGGGCCTCTCCACCTTTTGCTCTTAAATGTAACTTAAAAGTTTCATGGAAGAAATCAGTAAGATAAAAAGAGGTCCCTATGTTTTTTAATTGAGGTACTGTTCGTTATATCCAGGAGAAAGCTTCTAGTCCTTGGTATCTGAACCTTAATGAAAGCAAATTAGTTTTCATTTGTAAAAACATTTCTAGGGTTTTTTTGCATTTGTATTTATTCTAGTGCCTGTGGGTACAGTGTTACTACCACAAAAGTGTTAATGCGGGTATCACTGTCGTGGGGAGAACCTAAAACATCAACTTTGTCCGAATCCTAGGAGACATCTTTACTTTTCAACATCCAGATACTAAGTTCAACATGTTTATAAAACTCTTCGTTAGAGCCCTATTCCTGTATTAATCGTCTAGTTAGTTCCTAGTAAGTAAGCACAGTGATACAAACAGAATTCATTAACCATCGGAACTTACTTGAATTTAATGTTCAAAATTGAACACGTTTCTTTTCATTCTTGATACCAGGATTTTTTGCAGCTCAGGAATCATTAAAAGGCACCGGTTCGTTTGCCTTTAAAACAGCAGTGTAGGTAGTGTGACCTGGTGAGAGAGATTTAAGCATAACTATTTACATACCAGCTTTGTGTTGAGTTTGGAACAACTTGATATATTTGACAACAGTTCTTTTCCAAACATAAGTGACTGCATCTCTTGCAATTTTGAAGAGGAACTTTATCTCAGATTTAGATTAGAGTCACAGCAGACTGAAATAGCTAAATGTCTACATTCAAACGTTTAAATTGCTACATTAAAATTGTTACATTGAAATGTTTCTTAATGGACCAAGGTCATTAAGATTGTATGTTACACTCTAGTTTGTAGTATTTTTGTACTATTGAATGAAAAGTAAAAGAAACACAGCATATGCTGAAAAAATAGAAGTTCCTTCCACTCCATTTATGTCTTTCTTGACTTTGCAAGATCTTCATTTAATTTTAAAGTGTTTTTCCTCATTTTCCCCAAAGACTTGAGTTCCATTTTCTTTCATAAATCTTTGTATTTTTAAATAGGAAATGAGAAACTATTTCACAGTGCTCTATCAATATAAATAAGTTAATGTAGGCATCATTTGCTGACAGAATCCTTTCGTTCTAAGTATACAGTGTGTAGAGGTCTTTTCTGTACATTTGAAGGGTAGCATAATCTTATCCTGGAGAATGAGAATTGCCTGTTTTAACCAAATAATAAATGCAGCCTATAAAAGTTTTCAGTTTCTTTTATGCCTTCACATAAATTAATATCATGGGAAAAAGGTCAAAGTACATGTATGAGTAATTTATATCCTTTTCATTTAAGAAATGATAAAATTCCATTTCTGATCTTGATAAAATTCAGAATGATAAATTGCCCTAAAAGAACTAAGTTTTATTTTCACTTTGTAATTTTGGATATTTAATATGTTTTTTGATTTTTCAGAGGTGTTTATACTTAAAACTTGAAAGTGTTTTTTGTTCAAAACTAAGGACTTCAGGTTTAGGAGATTTCGTTAGAAATTCTAACCTGGTTGTTCCGGTTTTTATCTCTTGAGTAGAAGAGATACCTGATATTAAAAGTACAGTACTTTGAAAGATTACAGAATGTTTCACACTCCATGGGAGGTTTTATTTTTACCTTTTTAGTGACAAGTTTGCTTCATAAGATTTTCTGATAATGTAGGAAAATAAAAAATATGTACTTCACTTTTTGCTCTTTAAAAACAATGTTGAGTAATAGTATTTTCAGTTAAAATTTTTATCGGTAGAAAGTTAACTGTTCCATTCAGTTTTAAAAGCAAATGTTAGATAGCACATGTTTACTTAAAATAGACATTTGAGGACAATTTATGCATATAGTGGTGCAGTCTTAATACTTACGATTTTATTTCTTAACCTACATTGCTAGATTTTGAAAAGAGGTAAAAGAAACCAGGGTACCAGACCAGACAGGACGTTTATGAAGACAGAAATTAATCTGAGTTATGTTTTGATGTTTGGGATTACGTACAGTATTGATGAAGGCATCTGGTGCTGTGACCTGTTTGTTGACCTCACCTGGTTGTTGACCTCACCAAGGATGATTCCTACCCGTGATACTTGAAGGGATTGAATGTTATTGTAACATGTACAGTACTACATATTTCGGAAAGTGCTGTGCTAAAATTGATTTTTGTTGTAGTAAGTTGTGTCTGAAAAGAAATACAAGAAGAATTAAGGTTTTAACTTAAAAAAATTATTTCGTATCTTGGCTTTCTTAGTTCAACTATCTCAGTTTAAATAATATATAATTTTTTTTCCAATTTTGACATCTTTCAGTTTCTGCTTTAAAATTCAAGTCTTATGAAAAATAATGCTGATAAGGCTTATTTATATACTATTAGGTGGACTTATGACTAGTAGATATACCTGGAAGTAAAATTTTTACTGTTTTCTGACAGTTTGTTTTATGAAACACAGGTACACATCTCTTAGCATACCACTTGGGGACTGCTGCATTGTGCAGTAATAAACTTGTTTGCAATATTTTTGGTAAGAGCTGGTTTTTATAATATAGAAACATAAAGCCATTATCTGGAAAAAAGGATTTTTTTCTTTTATAGAAACAATTTTTATATACTTAAACTGAAGATTATGTTGATCTAGATTTTTTTCTCCTCATTCATAAGTGTATGTGGAGTGTCTTAATTGTCACTTTTGTGTTGCTTGATAAAATTATAACTCAAAACTTTTTTTTTTTTTTTTTTTTTTGGTCTTTCTAGACAGGGTCTCCCTGTGCAGTTCGGGCTGGCAGTGAACTCACTTTGTAGCCCCAGCTAGTCTTGAACTCTTAATGATCTTCCTGCCTCAGCCTCCCAAGTGCTGGGAGTACAGGACTGTGCCACCATGCCCAGCTCTTAAAACTTTTCTACAGTGTCACTCTCTTCATGAAATTTCTCTTGACTTGTAGAATCTTTCTGCTATATTGCTTTTTATTTTTCAAAGTCCCATTATTGAACATGTCACACTGTTTTGTAATTCATAGCCATGTTACTCTCCACCATAATTTTCTGGACTGTGAGCACCTGAGGGAACACTGTCTTGTGTATACGTAGAGTCGTGGGGCTCCCTATACTGCATAGTACTTCGTAAGTTCTCAGTAAGTATGCTTTAGACAGGGCTGTTGCTTGTCATTTGACACAATGCACTCAGTGTATTTGCTTCTCAATCCACGGATCAGACGCAACAAATTTGAAAATGTAGGGAGAAGGGTGTTCTGTATTCTTTCACTTTCTCAATCCTTTTTTAGAAAACTGCGTAGGGTTAATATGAATTAATGGAAGAATTTTAGTAATAGAGCAATTGATAACCCTGCTTTGCTGTTGGCAGGATTTGATGTGTATTTCTTACTGTATCACTAGTTGGAGGAGATATTTTGTATTTGTATTTATAAGGTAATATATGTTTTCTACTACTTAACTGTGAGCTCCTATTATTGTAGCTTTGGAGTTTATAAAATTAGAATCTGTGGGGTCTCCCTGCCTCAACCCTTTTCCTCCCACTGCCTGCTCTAGTACTTAATGCAGAGTGGAAATTTTCTAGCTTTAATACCATCATAATTATGGAAATTAGATAAGGTGGTTTAATGTATCTTTTATTAGAGGCCCCAAATCCAAAAAGTTCAAAAACTGCTTTTTTTTTGTAAACATGGCAAATGTCAACAGGAATTAATTCTCTTTTAACTAATGTCCAACATTTTTATTTAGGAATGTGTTTTGACTGCAGGTGCACCTAAATTGCCAGAAGGAAGATATAATGTTACCATTTTAAAAATCTAAAAAAATTGTAATTTGGAGAAATGTCCTGCCTTTAAGAGTTTGGGTATGTGATTGTGAGCCAACCTTGTATCTATTTCAGAAATGTAGAAATCAGAACAGTATCAGTGATAGCTAAAATGGCATTTAGGGGTGATGCTAATACTGAATTATAGTTTTAGAAATTTTTTCATACATTTTTCTTGTCCATATATTTCCCAGGGACTTTTTAATGATTAAAACTGCTAGAGATACAGTTGTGAATTTTAAGAAGAATTTGATCCTGTACTAAAGATGCCAATCTTTTTCTGCTTTTACTGAATGGAAAGCCTTATGTGAAAGTGGATCCTCACTTAGTAAATTTTCACTATGCCAAAGAATAGTAAAATAGAAGTATGTACTAGCAGTTTTGGTAA